CCGCGAGGGCCTGGGGCGGGCTGGAGCACGGGGCAGGTGCCGAGCCCCCGCCGAGGGCAGGGGCTCCCGGGAGGAGCAGGCGGCAAGACACCTGCTGAGGGCAGGGCGCCCGAGGAGAGGCGGGTGAGGACCCCCCGCTGAGTACAGGGGTGCCCGAGGGAGGCAGACGTCCAGACCCCCGCCGAGGGCAGGGGCGCCCAAGTGGGGTGGGTGCGGGGACCCCCGCTGAGGGCGTCCCTGTCCCTTCCCCGTGACTGACCCCTCTGTTGTCCTTCCCCGAGGACCCGGGGCCTGTGGGTCCCAAGCGCCAGGGCCCCTCTGCCGTCCTGGGCCTGCCTGGGGCATGATAGGGAAGTCCCTGGAGGCGGAAAACAACTTGGGCGGGCGTTTTCTTGGCCTCTGCAGCGCAGCTCGCAGCTCGCAGCTCGCAACTCGGGGAGGGGAAGATGAATGCGAGGAACCTGGCTAAAATAGGGGATTGTGAGAGCCCCTCTAGCGCACAGTTATTTGGTGGAAACATCACTCAGAAGGAGATGGGACTGCCAGCCAGGCAACTAGCACTCTCCAAGCCTGGTCTGCACTTCTCAGCGTCCTAGAGGGTTTAACCTGAAGCCCGTAGCCAGAACCTTCCTCAGGTGTGGACTGTCCACCTGGGTGCCAGACACTCCCCACAAACCTGACTTTACCAGGAGACTTGTTGATACAGCTGCGCTTCAGGCAGTTGACTGAGAGATAAAGAGCCCCCTTAACCTTTGATAGAGGAAAATAATTGGGAACATAAAGAAGGAGGTACTGTGAGGCCAACCCCTGAAATGCCTAAGGTAGCATCGCACAGGGCTCTGGCGAATCATCACCATGCATGGCTGCTAAGGCCGCCGCCCCCATCTGATGGTCACCTCCACACAGGTGGGAAGGAGTCTCACAGGCTCCGGGCAGGCTCTAGGCCACATGTGTTGCTTAAGTTAACTGTAGTTTCCTGGAGGGGAGCTGCTGTTTGTAGTTTCATTTAGAGAAAACTGGGGCTTAGAGAGAAAGTGAAACGTGCCAAGCTCATCAGAAGAGGATGTCGCAAGACCAAGTATGTCAGTAACGTCAGAACCCGAATTCCCCTTGCCCCCTGGGTGCTTGTCTGCTGCACTGCTGCTTTGTTTTGCTGGTTCACCCCCCACAGACTATTAGATGCTGCATTCTCGGGTTCTTCCTTTCTACTTGTCTCCTGGTTAAGTCACCTTCTTCAGAAATGTGAAGATTCAATTCAATGAGTCAGGTCCATCTTCATAGAGCAATTTCATAATGTTCCCATCAGTTAATTGCAGCCCCAGAAAACAGTAGACTATACCATCCCTCCCTGTTCCCTTTTCTTGATTAATTTCTCTGGTTAGTACTACCTCCTTTTTTATTTGCCTTTTCTGTCCTCTGCTCCCCCCCAGTCACCCCACCTGCAGCACCCCCAGAACCACCCCTCAAGTATGCCTCAGAGGACTGCCACTCGCCACGTCCCTCACACCATCCTAGTTCCTGTGGGCAGTGGACAAACGATGGTGCCTCTAGCTAGAATAGGGGCATCCAGGGAGAATGTAGCTTTAGGGGGTAAATCCAGGATTCTCTCCAGTGACATCCTATAAGACACCCAAGTAGAGCTGTTGAGTAGCAGTTATAATTCTGTCTCTGAGTAGAGGCTCCATTCAGGGCTGGTATCCCCAGCATCTAAGGTCAGGGTATTTCAAGTCATGGGAGGATAGGAAGCCATCAGAAGCAACGAGAAATGAGGACTAAGCCCAGGACACACCTCCAGTTAGAGGGTGTGAAGAGGAGAAAGAGCTGAAGAATGGAGGCTGACAAGGGGACCAATGAAACAGGACACAAATAGGAGAGCGTGGCATCCTACAGGCCACTTACTGGCGTGATGCAGGGGGTGGGAGGGTGCCCTCACTGACCTGATGCCATGGTGGGGGGTGTCCCCTGGAAGAGCACCGAGAAACCATGTGGCCAGATGGAGACTTGTAAGTGATGCTCATAAGAGTGTGTTGCTGGAATGCTGGGGACAAACACCGGCGGGGTTGGGTCATGGGAAAACAGGGACCAGGAGAAGGGATTGTGGATGATTCCTCGGTGGTAATTTTCTATGAAAAGGAGCAGAGATGTGGGTCTGTACTTGACTTGGCAGGTCAAGGAAGGTTTTTTTAATGTTTATTTTAAGATTAGAGATGCTGTAGCTTGCTTGTTTGCCGAAGGGGATGATCTAGAAGACAGAGAAATGTTAATGACGAGGGAAAGAGGAAGGCCATGTCAGGGAGTCAGGGAACAGCCAAGTCTTGGCCTGAGCAGTGAAAGGGGCCTGGGTAGGAAGCCCATGAGGGATAGGATTGGAGGAGCAGGAACAGATGCTGGTGGGTGGCACAGCCAGAGGGTGGAGGACACAGTCATCCTTACGAGAATCTGGGAAGCAGGGAGGGTGTGAGTCACTCTCCTCATTTCACAGATGATCAAGCCAGGATTCAGCCAAGCTTCAGGCCTCACAGGTACTCAGTGGCAGAGTTAAGACTCTCAGTCTTACGACTCCAAGTCTTGGGCTATTGAGAGGACACCAAGGTTTCCACACTGCCTCCACTTTTCATGAGGCTGGAATTCGTTAAGACTTGACTGTTGGACTTGGAGGCTGAAGCCTGGGTTTCTAGTTCTCGCTCTGTCACCGGGCTCTGGGTGTTGTTCAGCTCCTCAAAGCCTCAGAGGCCTTGTTCTAAGATGGAAACATTAATGACTGCCAGCCAGGTGTGTGGTAGAAATCCAGTGAAATCGTATGCCTGCAAGTGCTTTGTAAATGGAAAAGTGCTCTGTAAGAATGTAGGGTGCTGATTCACATGGTTGTAGCTCGAGCTAAATAGATTCAGAAACTTGCTAGGCAGAGCTATTTTGAAACGTGCAGCAGGGACCAGAATCCAAGCTTTCCTTGCTTATGTAATACGACAGAGTAACTAATGCTAAACATCAGAGGATTTGGTGTTAAAGTATCTCTGGGCTTGTAGTAATAGTGAGAATCTGCCACTTCAAGAATGTGCGAAATTACTTAGAGGATGCAGTTTGTCAACAGACAGGGGCAGGTGAGGAGAGGAGGACGTGGGAGCAGGGCTCTGAATGACTGCCCAGGACTCAAGTTTGTCTTCTTCCCCAAGATCTTCAGTCTCATGACCGGAACATGGAGCCCTCTCTCGTGCATGATCACATACAGAGAATGTAAATCAGTATGCTGACCTGCATCTTATTCTTCAAAAGTTCTTCTTGGGGAGGGGACTTTGCTCAGAATTTAAATAGTGAGAATAAACCACCACATGGGAGTTACTTCAATCTACTGTGCATTCATTTGAGAGATTTTTTTTAAAAATCGCTTTGTATGTCTGTATTTTTAATTTGCTGGTATATATCACATTGTATTATCACTGAATGAACAAATGATTATTAATGGCTTTGTGTGCTTGTTTATGGAGTTGTAAGAGATGGAGTTTAGGAAGCTCTTGTTTGTTGTCCTTCTTGCTTTTCATAAATATTACTTGACTCTAAAGTGCAGCTAAATGTTGCAAACTTAATGACAATTTTCTATGTATAATTGATTTACGATCCTAACGCTTTTTTAGTTTGATGTGAGGAATTCTAAAATAAGCTTGCCAAATCTGTATCTTGAATTTCTTTTTGAGTGCTGTGTCTGGTGGATATTTCCATAACAATGGGCCTTTGTGGACTTTTTGTTAATAATAATGCTCGTTATTTAATAATATAACTTTAGGACAAATGTCATTGTGTCTAATAAGGAAAACAAGATGTCAGCAAGTATGCTAGGAGACATGAGAACATGGATCATATTCATCAGTCTGGACAGGCCAGCACTTTTCAGGCTCTCTTTATGAATCTTCATTATTTTGCATTTGTTCTGGAAATTTCTCACTGAAATGTTCTGACTTCAACATGTAAAGGGAGTTTCGCTTTTTATTTTAGGGTAGTGATTCCACCGAAGCAACTGCCAAACCAAAGAGAAGTTTTTATGCTGCAAGGGATTTGTACAAGTACCGACACCAGTACCCAGTAAGAGCATGGAATGGTTTTTTCTCAAATGTAAAATATTTTCTTGCTGCTTTTTAAATTTTATGGTGCCAGCGATAATGTGCCTCTTCTACATTTCCATATGCTGGAGATTGATTCATTTTTTTTTTTCTTTAGCAGAACTTCAAAGATATCCGATATCAAAATGACTTGAGCAATCTTCGTTTTTATAAGAACAAAATTCCATTCAAGCCAGATGGTAAGTAACCTATTACCTTGGTTAATTGCAAACTTTAAATAATGACATACTTGTGTTTATACTTTGCTTATTCTGTGACTAGCTAGTATATTCTTAATGCATTTGTTCATTGACTGTCCTAACTTTGCTGTGCAATCTGGTGTGTCCCTAAGTCTTAGACCCCAGATTTGTGGGTGTCCACTTGGTAAACTCTGAAGAAGGAGCTATGGGTTAGTGACATCGTCCTACCACTTGTTTACCGTGGCTGTTGTCTGGAGGGTATTGGGACCATTTCTGTGAGAAGAAGAGAGAGGAAAGGTATAGAACCACAGAATCTCAGATTATGTCAGAGGACATCAGAGGAGACAGATTCAGCATCCTCATCTGAAAGGGAGGTCACTGGGATGTAAGGCTTCAGTGACTCGACTTGTGGTCACTCTGTTGATCCCAGAGTTGGGTCCAGGCTCCAGATCCATTTTCCACTGTGCCATCCCTAAAAAGCATTCAGAATGTGATTGAAAAGTGCCGTTTGTGTTTATAATGATCTTTCCTGTGAGATTTCAGATTTGGGGGCAGGAAGCTATGGCAGTGGCAGATCGGTATTCTGATGTACTGGAAGGGACTTATAGGTCCGTGAGACTTTCATCCTCCCAGGGGATTTCCCACACCTGTAGTGAGGACGTGGCTGCTCTGGTGATGTGACCACAGCACTGTGTATCATGGAGGCATCATGCTGTGGGCGTAGTGGGCTCCTGCCATCCGGGTCAAACCAGGAAGTTGGCTTCTCTTTTCTCCCCTCTTTTGGGGGAGGGACCAGAAGGCCTGGCTCCTGCTCTTTGCTCAGGGGAAATGGAGCCAAGTCCATAGCTGTGTGATCAGGGAGGCAAGACGTCCACCTGGCAGGACTTGGCACTCTCTGGAGAACTTGCTGAAGGCAAGAGATCTAGAGGCCAGCTGGAGTCTGGGAGGAGGGAGTTCCAGCACTGAGTGCTGATACCCACTGGCGGGGAGTCAAGATTCAAGAACAGGCTGAAACGGCCAGGCCCATTCATCTTGACCTTTCTGCTGTCCCGCAAGTCTGCTCTGATTTGGAGGGAGTCCTCTGGATAAAGATGTACTCTTTGTTGTATTTGCTAGTGGTAGAAATGCACTGCTTGATTTTCCAGTGGAAAATATTGATTAAATTATTAGTTTTGTTAGAATTTGGTATAAGAAAACCTTTGGAGGAAATGCAGTGGTAGATGGCTAAACTTACTCTACTTTGAATTTCATAAAATTTACCTAAAGAAATTCCTCCAAATATTAAAACTATTGCACACCATTGCAGTATTTAACTACACACACACACACACACACACACACACACACACACACACACACACACACACATTTGCCAGTATGTGTAATCTTGCAATGGTATACTTTACTTATCAGGAAGGAGGAGGGATATTTGGAAGGGAAAATGAATAAAAAAATATGGAAGTATATAGTTTCAGCATTTAACCTGGAATCATCTGACAGTATGATTCAGAAAAGCTTTTTGCCAGACCTCTGAGTGGGCTTCCCTCCACCAAGTGGATCTCTGGAGGAGACAGGATGAGATGAGCTATGTTTAGAGGAAGACTATGTCGCTGTGTTTTTCACATCTGGTTCACTAAATGGCCTCATAGTTAGCTGTAAGGACCTCGACAGTCTTGAGTCAGGAGGATTTTGTTTTAGGGAGTTCTTATAGGGGAACAGCAGGGCTTACTTTTTGGAACCGGAAAGGCCTCTGTTCTGTTCCAAGATTTACTTTTTTTTAACTAGTATTACTTTGAACAAGTCACAGAGTGTTTCATTATTAAAATGGATATCATAACACTGGGAGATTTCTGTGAAGAGGAAGGGGGATGGTACATGTGTTGTCTGACATGAGCCCGCATGGAGTAGGTACTCAACCACTTTTTCTTTTCTTTTTCTTCCCCCCATTCCTTTCCCTTCTTTGCTTCTCTCCTTCTCATCTCTTTTCCTCCCTTTCTGTTTTCCTTCTTTTCCCTAGAATATGCTTCATTTTGATCCAATCTAGTATTTAAATAACTACATGATGCTCTAGGGCAGGGAGTGGCACAGTTTTTCTGTAGAGGGAAAACAGTAACTTTTTTAGGCTTTGTAGAACAGTGGGTCTAGACTGCGAGCACTCAGCCCTGCAGCTGTGGCACAAATACAGCCATAGAAAGACATCAGTGGCTGTGTTCTAATAAAGCTTTATTTACAAAGCAGCTGGTAGCCAATAGTTTGCCCACCTTGGCTTTAGAGTGCATTGCCCAGTAAAGCTTTCTGTGACTTAAGCTGCCATTATTTTTTTAAATTACACTTATTACATAACTGAGTATATGGCCTAGGGTATTCATATTTTAAAAGCGTTGTTTTTGTGTGCTGTTATTAAATCTTAAAAAGTTTTAATGTAGAACTCAGGTGATTCAGATCTTAAAATGCCTTCACAATGTTTTCAATGTCTAGGTTCATGTCCTAAATCTTTCCTCTTTAGGTGTTTACATTGAAGAAGTTCTGAATAAATGGAAAGGAGATTATGAAAAACTGGAGCACAACCACACTTACATTCAATGGTCAGTGACGTATTATCTGTCTTGAGCCATGTCCTGTTTAATCATGTGTGTTTTCCAGACAACATTAATAGAGATATTTTATTTTATTTTATTTTTAATAGGCTTTTCCCCCTGAGAGAGCAAGGCCTGAACTTTTATGCTAAGGAACTAACTACATATGAGATTGAGGTAATGCAAGCTCGTTTCATCTTATACGAGGTGGTCAGATGACATTACTGTCTTCCTGTCCCCTGTTGTTCTGGCAGCTGTGGAATCAACTCAGCTGACTCTCTTCCATTTTTTATATTAGGAATTCAAAAAAACAAAAGAAGCCATTAGAAGATTCCTCCTGGCTTATAAAATGATGCTAGAATTCTTTGGAATAAAACTGACCGATAAAACTGGAAATGTTGCCCGTGCTGTTAACTGGCAGGAGCGATTTCAGCACCTGAATGAGTAAGTAAAGCCCCTGTGCCAAGTCGGAAGCCCCACAGTGTGTTCCCTTGGAGAAGTTCCCCATGGGACACAGGAACCTATGCAAATGGGCCCAGGAGCTGGGATTCCAAAGCTAGTCTAAAATGCGATTTATTCCTGGTTCTATATTCCAAAACAAAAGAAAACAACAACAGAAAGGATGGAAATTCCAGATAGAAACACAGCCACTCGGCTTCAGAACTCTTTCTTCCTGAAACCTCTCCCCGCACCAGATGTGGCCTCTCTCTGTCATGTGACACTATGCTTTCTGGAAATTATGGTTGTTACCTGAATACAGTTTTGTGTGTCTCCTCTAGTGGGCTGTAAGCTTCTGGGCCACAGTCTGTCCCTAACATTCTCAGGCATGGTGTTCTCTTAAGCTAAATTCATGAATTAAGCCTATGATGTATAAAAATCATTTTATAAGAATGAGATGTGCCCATACTTTTTACTAAAACAGAAAATTATAATTATCTTCACTATTTAGGTAAAAAACAAAAGCCTATTTTAAAAAAATTATAGGGTGGCTTATGAATGCTGGACTATGAAACCAATAGTTTTAAAGCACTTCTTAGCACATTATAATTAGCTAAACCGGGCAAGGACCAAGTGAAAAAATAAATTAAAACTAACCTCAGCAATTTCTTTTTGGCCAAAACAATGTGAGTTTTGCACATCAGTTGACTAAGTAGTTTGTGTCTTTTTAGAACTTTAATCTTGCCTTGGTAAAATGAGGATAAACGTTAATGTTAAACCTTCCTTTTACTTTATTAATTATAATCTAAGGGATTAAAATGGTAGCCTTTAAATACTAAATCCCCAAATTTACTAACACTGAAGAAATGGGCACATAGTTTTTGTTCCTGACTAGAAGACCGTGAACTCACAAATCAAGTTAAATGTGATTTGGTTAGGGTGTTTGAAACGTATATGTATGCCTGGGATTTAGCAGCATCGGTAGCTGTCTTGGAATGGAATTTCTAGACCGTGTCATGCTGTCAGAAAGGCTGCGTGCAAGTAGCCAGTTGACATGAAGGATGGCCAAAGTCAAAGTCAGCCTCTGGAGAGGACCCAGCAGTGCCTCACCCCCCAGGTGCTCACGACTGTCACTTCAGAAGCTCTTTTTCTCCAACTTATTTTTGGTTAGAATAGCAGTTTTGCTGAGTAACTTTCTTGTTGAATGAATCAGTGATGACCACAACATAGTCCTCAGCTTAAATCCTCCTTGGGTTTTCTCACCAGATCCTCTGGTTCACAGGTGGCAACTGCCCTCTTTGAAGGCTTTAGTTAAATGATCCCCTGGCATGAGACAGGGCGGGGAGCCTGAACTGAGTTGTTTCTCACTTTCTGCCCCCTCAGCTCCTGTTCTTTCTTCTGCCTGTGGTCTCTCACTCAATTTCCTGTGTATTCCTAGCGCTTTTCTGGGTGTGAATTAACTGCCTTAGAATCTGCCAGAGAACACGTTTCCCTGTGGCTTACTTGCCAAAAATTTTATTCTCTAGATTTGAACAAACGAGAGGGATTTCTATGAGAACGTCTAGTCTGGTTGCTTCTTCAATCAGCTTCTTTTTTGATTTATTCTTGAATGTCAGAACTTATTTGTGTTTTAATGTGTGTAGCATCTTGTGTTTTGTGGAGTAGGCAAGGGACTGAAAATATTTTTAGTAGCTGAGCAGAGAAAAAATATTGAATCAAAGTGGAATGAAGTAATGTTGAGTGAACAAGTGACCACGACTAAAAGAGGCAAAATATTTTCTAACACGAGAGTACAAAATATGGGCCAGCCACTAATATGATTTTCCAATTTTATTTGTAATCACTTTGGACAACTGAGCTGTATTTTAGACCCTGGAATGCCTCTTAATGTTTATTTCCTGTATCCTGGCTCTCACCTTTGGTGTGTTCTGTCTTCCCCTACCTCAACTCCCCTACCTCATCTTCTCGACAATTTCACTCGATTCCTACCTCTCAACCCCAAAACAGGCAGCTCCTCGTGCGTTCCAAGGCTCCCCTGCTCCATGTAATCTTTCAGCGTGACAATTCCAAATCATACCCAGACACCAATTGCTTTATTCTATAATTTTGTTATAGACTCTTCATCATCATTTTCTTTCTTTCTCTTTCTCTCTCTTTTTCCCTATCTCTCTTTCTTTCTTTCAACTAACTTCCATCCTTTCCGCTCCCCTCCTCCCTCCCTCCCTTCCTTCCTTCTCTGTTTTTTTGTTTTGTTTTGAGTCAGAGGTCTCACTCTGTTGCCCCAGCTGGAGTGCAGTGGCGTGATCCTGGCTTACAGCAGCCTCAACCTCCTGGGCTTAGGCAATCCTTCCTCCTTAGCCTGTCAAATAGCTGGGACTATAGGTGCATGCCACCACTCCTGGCTTAAGTTTTCAACTTTTTTGTAGAGATAAGGTTTTGCTGCGTTGCCCAGGCTGATCTCAAGCTCCTATGCTCAAGCAATCCTCCTGCCTTGGCCTCCCAAAGCGCTGGGATCACAGGCATGAGCCACTGTGCGCAGCCCCTCATCATCATTTTTTTCAGTCCATGTTTTTATTCTTTTATCCTGTTATGTAAATATTTTTCAATGGAGAATGTGTAGAGGGAGATACATGTGTACAGAAATTTTTAACTTGACCACTCATCTTGGATTGATTATATGAAATTGAGCTGGTTGTAAATATAGTAAATTTGGTTTTGTCATTTTTTAAACATTCTTTTTTTAAAACATTCTTCCCCCCCTTTCCATCCATCTTTTTCTCATAGGCATATGAAGCAGATGTTGCCTGAGTTGTGTCACTAATTTTTAGAGTCTACAGACTCCATATGAATGTGACAGATAAGTTGGTCCTGCCATTAGTAACACATTGTCTGAAGTTTACCCAAATTTGTATTGTCTCAAAAGACTGCTACTTCTTAACTATTAAAAATAGAGATGTGTAAGATGGAGCTATCTGTGCTATGCTTTACCAGTTGGGCTTCAAAGAGTGGGATGCCAAGATCACCCTTTTTGGGAAGGCATCCGGAAGGGCAGAGGTGATAAAAACTGCTGGCTTGTCTTTCCTGTGTTTGGTTAGCCTGAATCATTAGAGTTTTTATGTAGTCCAAACAAACTTTCTCCTTGAATTATAAGACCATGGACCCATCCCCTCCCATCCCTTAAATAAATTGGCAACATTTTCTCAACCCTTCCCAAATGCTTCTTCTTCAATAAAAGCTCAAGCATTTCTGGAAACCAGGACAGGTACGTACAGTGCTTGCAGAATGTTTTGTATCTGAGTATAAACAGGTTTTTAGAGGTTTGAAATAAGTGAGGGTTACAGTTGTGTGACAACATTGAGTAAACACATACCTGGGCAGTTGCTGCCACAGGATTTATACATGTAGCTCAAGATTCTTTCAGGATTTGGCCAGGCATGTGTGAGGCTGGGGGGTGGCCTATGAATTGTGACAAAACAGACTTAGCAAGCAGTTCGCAGGTGATGGCCTTAGTCTCAGGGTAGTGAGGAAAGACACCGGTAGGATCTCAGGGGAAATGCATCTTTGGAGTCAAGGCCATCAAAAATAAGATTTAGAATGATGTGAGGAAAGGGGGAGGAGCTAATGACCAGGGATGGAGATAATTCAATTATTAAGTTGGGATAGGAAAAAATGGCGGTCCTTAATGCCAGCTCTTTAAATGACCATACTAATGATAGTTTTCAGTAGTATCCATACTCCTTCGGCTTTCAGTAGTATCTATACTTATACATCCACTCATTCGCTTCTTATAGCAGTCCAGCGGGTTGTGAGCTATTTTCCCCATTTCACAAGTGAGGATAGAGATGTGGATGGACATCGTGATGTCGTGCAGTTGCTAAGTGACAGCCACAGGGTGCGCTCAGAGCTGACTTTGAAACCTGTGCTCAACAGCTAGACCATGCTGCTAGATCCACTCATTCTGCATCTTCTGTGAGGATGGTTCTAGTGGAGTGCAGTGGCTCTCACTGCTGCCCCTGTGAGTGGGCTGAGGAGTAGGCTTTGCTGACCCACTGGCTCTATCAATTGTACCATTTAGCTGTGAGCTAATGTGTTTGTTCCGCGGTGGTTACCTAGACCAACCGCACCACATTGGTGTGACAATGAATGTCCTGTGAGATCATTTGTCCTCAGTGTCTTTAATCACCAAAAGTGGTGAACATGTTCAGTCTAAAGCAACAGGGGAGGGTGATTGTCTGCCTGCATGTTTCACATTGTTAAGGTTCAGTCTCCTTCGTGGGGTCTACCTGACTCTAAAGTGCCTCACAAGGCATCTGGCTGCACGTCGAGTTCCCTGGCCATGTTTCAGCTCCTCCCACTCCTCTGGCTTTCCTTCCCCACTCACTTTGTCCATCCTCTCTTACAGGTCCCAGCACAACTATTTGAGGATCACCCGCATTCTGAAAAGTCTTGGCGAACTCGGGTATGAAAGCTTCAAATCTCCTCTTGTGAAGTTCATCCTCCACGAGGCTTTGGTGGAAAACACCCTTCCCAACATCAAGCAAAGTGCCCTGGAGTACTTCGTGTACACGATCCGGGACCGGAGGGAGAGGAGGAAGCTCCTGCGCTTTGCTCAGAAGCACTACACACCATCCGAAGACTTCATCTGGGGGCCGCCCCGGAGGGGGCAGGAGCAGGGGGGCCGAGCCCCGAAGACAGGTGCTCCCCTCGCCTCCAGCCACAGTGGCCAAGCCTCTGTGCCCAGGAAGGCCAAGGACTCCAAGACGCCCCCTTCGGCTGCCCATCCAAATAGCAAGGCAACTGAAGAGAGAAAGGGGCCACTGAAAGACCCTGTGGAGGAGACAGCCAGGCCCAGCCTGGAATCCAGCCCTGAGGTGGCCCAGCCTGGGGACACAGAGGAGGACGGTGCTGACGGTGCGAATTCTCAGCCAGAGGAAGCAGCTGCCAACCCCACAGAGAAGGAGGACAGCATGTCTCCTGAAAGAAGCCCAGAAGGCCAAAATCATAACCAGGACAGTGAAAGTCCTGGAAACACAAGCTGCCAAGATGTTACCCGAGGGCAGTGAACGACCAGGAAACCTGCAGCCTGGCCTAGGCGAATGGGGGAGGGGGGGAGAAATTGCTGTGCACCATCTCTGGGAGGACAGAGATGAGGCCACTTCCAACTCCAATCGTCTGTTTGTGGGTTCCATTGTGAGCATTTTGTTGTTGTTTTTTCTTTTGGATGACAATGAATTGAATATTTAAGGAGAAGTTTGAAGACAAGACCTAATAAATGAATGTATTCTGTAATGCTTTTAGGATGTGAGTTTTCAAATTCTGCATATAACAACTGCTTTCAAGTTATTTTCAGGGTATCTGGAAATGATCATGTGGTATTTGACATTTAAACATGTTCTTTCAAGGGAGTCCAGTCTACATGACCAGAAGCAAGAGAACTGTTTCTCTGGATTGCCGCATCTTTACCCAATCTGATTTGTGAATTAATTTTTTAAGTGGAAAGAGTTTGGTCTTTTCAAATGTGTTCAGAAAATAATTTGGATTCTTTGACTACACCCCTCAGAGTGTCTATTTTTAGGCTCTGAGAAGTGATGTGCAGGCCTGTAGGGCTCTGCCCTATGGGCTCAGGGTCCATCCTGCAGCCTCTTCCTCTGTCCCTCCCTTCCACACCCACCCACGAGCACCTCCTTGTCAGTGGCACGTGTGTGTTCAGTGCAGTCGGCCTTGTCCTCTGTGTCCATGGGTTCTGCATCTGTGGATGCGACCAATTGCAGATTGAAAATATTGAGGAAGAAAAATGGGTGGTTACATCTGTACTGAATGTGTGCAGACTTTATTTTTTTTGTCATCATTCCCTAAACAATACAGAATAACAACTATTTACATTGCATTTGGTATTGTAAGTGATCTAGAGGTGATTTAAAGTATACGGGAGAATGAGCATAGGTTATATGCAAATACTGCATCATTTAAAATCATGAGCATCTCTGGATTTTGGTATCCACAAATGTCCTGGAACCCATCCACCGTGGGTGATCCTCTATATTTAAATCTAAATGGAAAGGAGGATTTTTAACTCTATGACTTCAAAAATTTGCTTTGTTTAAATTCTTAAGACTGTTTTCAGTATGAAGTGTTTAAAAACAATTTTTGATTGAAAAGTTCATAAATTTAGTGGTTAATTCTGAATGCAAATGACTGAAGAATTAAAAAATAAGAAAGGAATTTATTCATAGTTTTAAAGGGCATGCCTCTTGTACTGTGAGGCAGTAGTCCCTTAAGCCATAAATGTGTCAGTGTTATGTGGATTATGGCATTAGTAATTTTGCTTAGTCCACAATATATCTTTTTAAAAATATATTTTATGCATCTCTAAGTTATTGAACTTTCAAATTGAAAACAAATTTGAAATTCCATATACTTAGTTCTAGTAAGCACTTAATATGTTACATAACACTGGTTAAGAACACATAATTTCATTTTCTATAATATTATGGCTAATTATTTTTACAAAATGGGGAAACAGTCAGAAACACTGTGATGAGAACTTCAAAGCATACATTCAAAGTATATTTAAAACAATGAACAGAAGAAACATTTCTACTTAATTTCATTTAGAGAGAAAGTGACTTTTCTGTCTCTCTTAGGCTTTTAAGAAAAGTTCTATTCATTTTAACTCCCCAGAGAATTCTCAGTTTGCCCCACTTCATATCACATATCATCTTCTGTTGCCTTTATTGATCCACATTTTCAGTAGTGCATTTCTAGAAAATAACCACACCTTTAATACACCTTCAGAAATATGATTTTGTTGCTTTGAAGTTTACATGAAACATCCCAGTTGCTTTACTCTAATTCTTCATATGACTCTCAGTAGTGCTCATGTTGTGTGTCATATTCCAATAAGTATTGTATGAAAGATTTTCTCATTTTCAGTTCCTATAGCGTATCAGTTTTTGCTTTCTACTCCTTTGTGAAGTGAGCATTAGGACTTGAGAAGACAATCTGCTCTTGCGTTTCAGTGTCTAATTTACATATACGAAATCTTTGGGCCCTTTGGGGGTGGTGTTCGCAGTAGTGCCAACCTCATAGAGCCCAGCACACAGTGCATGGAGTTAGAGCATGATAGGAGATCGTCAGATTAGGCTGGATTGCAGGAATATAAGAAATTTAATTCAAAATATCTTACTAATTTTGCATACATAATAAAGAGTTCAGACTATTTTTTAAATGCATAATATTAAAAATTTGTGACCAGATATTAAAATACTAATAAACAGTTTCCAGCTACCAAAATAAATGAATATAATCTGAATTACATAGAATCTATGGTCTATTTGAGCCCTTAGAAATAAAAAAACAAAAATTTCATTTAGCAATTTAAGTTCTAGTATATTATCCTTAAGAGAGTTTTTAAAAAAAATTAGATTGTGACATTTAAAAATATTTACTCTCAAGGGGAAAACTGCCTGCCCTCCATCTTAAATAATGGCCTTTTCCCACAGTGATGTTTTTTTAAAATGCATATTCATATATAACAGTGTTTCCTACATTTAATCTGTAAATAACTTATGAGAGAACCATTCAGTGGAGAATAAGTAAAAGGATGTTTTTCCCTTTGCAGGTGAAAATTGAGTGTCTACCAGTTTAGGCAACATAGTAAAACCTCATCTCTACAAAGTATCAAAAAATTTGCCAGTCGTGGTGGTACCTGCCTGTAGTCCTAGCTACTTGAGAGGCTGAGGCAGGAGGATCGCTTGAACCCAGGATTTTAAGACTGTGGCAAGCTGTGATTGTGCCACTGCACTCTAGCTTGGGCAATAAAGTGAGACCTCGACTCAAAAAAAAAAAAAAATTGAGTGTCTAGAACTTTTTTTCTATTAAGAATACTTTGTACGTTTAATAATTTTTTAAAATAAGATCTATAGATATGTATTTATGTGTGTCCTACATATGAAACGATTCCCTGGGTTTGACTCCAATGTTTTATATTTTTAAAAACTACCATATGCTTGCAGAAATTTATTGAGACGCTGTTATAAAAAATGCAGTGAAGCATGACCAAATAACCAGAAGCACTGAATCTTTACAAATATAGAGTCTTTATAGTTGTTGTATGGAGTGCAAGCATACTAAATATTGGCTATTGATAAAATATGAATTTGCATTTCATGGCAAATAGATGTTATATTGCTTGATTAGTCTAGTATATTTCTTATATTTTGTGCTTTCATATATCAAAGGAGATAATATATGTGAAAATATTTTGAAATACTGTAAAGTGATATATAATTATAAGATATATTTCTGTACAGTAGAACAAAGTTTTTAACATTAAGAATATTGTACATTATCCACTTTCATGCTTAAGCTCATAAGAAATTCAAAAGAATCATGATAGAAGTGAAAATATGTTTGCCTTCTCTGAATCAAATCTAGTTGTCAGTTCAAAAATTATGTTTTATAGCTTTATTTTGAATTTAGGTTTTAAGACTACATTTTTCCAGCTTCAAGGAGAAAATAAAACCTACAACTCAGGAGTTATTAGGGAAGTTCTAAGATTTTTTTCTAAGTATTAAAAATATAAACATACAAAAATGCCATAATGTCTGTCATAGTCAGTTTCATATTTTATCATATAAAATAACCCACCCTGCTTCCAGTTTTTATACTTTAATCTGAGAGAAAGTATAATCTAGTGAAGAAGGAAAAACAGTATAGTGTTACATCTGAGTTAGTCTTGAAAAATCATTTTAGCAAATAAACATCGACATCGAGTGGTCAAAACTTGGTTAAACTAATGGGGAGAGACAATTTAGCTAATTGTTTTAATATTAAATTGTCAAGTTTATAGTAGAGTTATGACTGAGTTTTTATCTACTGAATAATTGACCCAGCATTTTAAAAACTCTAATTAAGTTTCTTCTAAAAGCTTTGTTTTCTAACCTAAAAAAAAGAAAGACATTCTTGACCTATGGGTCTTCAATGTCTATTTTGGGGTGACTGGTGATCCCTTGGTGTAGGAATGTTTTTGGAGATTTTTGTTTTGTTTCCCACTTAGAAGATTCCCCTTCTCTTTTGGGGAACATGCACTAAATACAAGGAGAGTTGGATTCAGACATGCTAGAATCATTTCAAATGTAGGTGCTGTTGTTGGGACAGTAGCCCAGGTCAGTGCAGGATGTAGTGAGTTAGGTGGGAGCATCACTGACTTTCTTCCATGTTGAATTCCGTTCTGTTTATTTCAGGAGCAGATGTGTGTGGGTGGTCTCTAGGGTGACAGTGAGTACCGCCCTGCTTCTGTCGAGCTCTAGTTATCCCACCACCCAGCAGAGTGTTCAGGGACAGACTGTTCTTCTAGAAATCCCTTACTATTGAAATTAATAGTAATATAGTTATACATATGAATGCCGGGAGGTGTCCAGATGTGCCTTAATGAATGTAAGTGGTTTTCATTCAGAAGTTTACATTTTTACTCCATCAGAGAATTTTGTCCTAAGGAACTTTCCAAACCACGAATGTCAGTTCTTTTAATGAAATTTACTTTGGTGCTTTATCATTTTGGAGAAATTTCCATTTGGGACAATAACATCAGTTCATAATGATATGTACTCACCAAAATATTCAACAATGTGTTATATATGACAAAAAAGGGTTTAGAGTGAGAAAGATGAACTATGTTGTTTGTTACATTTATTTATGCTTTTTCTTAGTTTAGCTACATGACTAATTTTCATGTTAAACATTCCTTAGCTACTACAAGGAATATTTGTCTGTGTTTTACTTTTTTGTTCTTAGATGCAGATGAATGTAAAAAATGGAATTAGATAAAGTACTGAAAGTTTAATTCCAGTAGATGGTTGGAGGAATCTGAAATTAACTTGAAAATCTTTAATGCCATAGTCTTATTGGAAACATTGAAAAAGCACTACTCTTGCTTTTTTTCCCTAGACTAGAGAGAGTGTTCTGTCATCTCCTTTTTTCCTATTCTGTTCTGAAGTTTATTGCTTCAGTTATTTGTGGGAAATAACTTCCTAATGTATTTGTTTTCTTGAATTAAAGTTTTCATGTGGAGAATACAACTAAGTGTTTTGTGTTATGGTCCAAACTCTGGCTGGGAGTTAAGTTTAGAGAGGGAAAGGCGATTAGGACCAGCATGGGCATTGTGGGTGCTGCCATCACCACCGGTGTGACAGTCCCTCAGAACCTCTTCTGCATGACCAGAGTGTTGAGCCCTTAAACACTGATTTTGGGGAGGATGGGCCACCGTGGACTTCATGCAGTTTTTGTGGGTATCGGTTCTCACAGAATGTCTGCTATAATTTATTTGTCATCATGTTGTAGTTGTTTAGAAAGTTGTGAGCAATTGGGCACCTATAAACTATTGTTATATCTTTATAGCTATCTTGTGAAACGTATTGAAATACCAATTTCTCCCCTTACCCCCAGTTCTTTAATTAAAAAAAAATGTTTTGGAGTTGTTAGCTCATAGCTATAAATAAAAAACTCTTTTTATAAAATGAGTCAGAGATAAGGCAGCAGTGCTCACTTGTTATGCTAAAAGATATTTTTTCTTAAAATATTTTTTTTCTAAATCAAAATATCTTATGGAAAAGTATTTAACCTAGAAGGTATTTGCCATATTTTAATTTTTTTTTAACAACAAAGGAGTTTGTGTAACAGTTTACCTTAACTAGAGAGATAAGGTATATACTAAGTTTTGTCCTAAGAAACACTGAAGTTCTGTATTCATTGGTCAAGTGAACATGTTTTCAGTGTCAACAGATTTAGTTTCATGTGAAGAAAATGAAAACACAAATGAAACAAGGGACTAGAATCAATAATAAGAAAGTCAGGCATAGAAATAAGGACATAATCAAT